TATTTATTTTTCAAAAAAATTTTATAGTTAAATACAAACTGAATAAAGTTATGAAATAAAACAAATTGTTTGTGTGAACATTATTTGTTTTTGTTTAATGTTAAGGACATCTGCTGTATTTGATTTATTATTCTAATAATTAGAATAATAAATCAAGTACTGTAGAAACACAGATTTAAAAAAATAATAAATCAACGGAAATTTCTAGTTTGCATTAAAACTTAAATATGATTTGTAACAACACATTAAAACATTTTAGATTTTTTCAATGATTTTCATAAAATCACAATGTTATGAAATCAGAAACTATAGAAAATTGAACAGAAAAAAGTAGTTCCCACTCATTATCCGTGTTCATAAAGTATTATAACGTAAAATTAATTGAAATAAATTTATACAAATAAAATTTACCCAACATTAAATTATATTCATTTAAAATTCGTTTAAAGTGTTCAACTATAGTTTCATATTGTCATCACCTCTTTTAATATTTTAATATATACTATTTATTTTGAGTTTAACTTAACGTTATTAATTACAAAAGTTATTTTTCTTGTCGAACTTGCATTATTTATCCATATAATATCTTTTAAATCCAATATTTTTATATAAAGAAATAAAATAAGAATAAAACAATACTTAGGAATGAAAGATGAACGATAAATTTAAAATTAAGTAAATTATCACATCTTTTAATTAAATAACAAGGTTATAAATTCATTTTATAATAACTAATTTCGTTTGTAAATAAATTTATAATAAAAATATCAAATCGAATAAATATTTGAGTTAAGAATTCAGTTTAATCGAAAGATAAAATGAATTATCATTGTAAACAACTATTTTGATATAAATCGCAAACTCAACAATTCACAATAAATTGGATGAATGATATGATATGATTAATAAATAAGCCAACTATACATACATATGCACGGATAAGACGGAGAACAAAAATGACAGCAGTGTTATAAAATAATTATAGAAGTATAAACAAGGTTTTAGTAAGTATTGGAGATTGACAATTAGCCTAACTGTAGAAAAACTATTTGACAATTTTGCAAAATATAAAGTAAAATGTGAAAACTTAGTATCAAGCAGGCAGGACGGTTCAAACTATATATTACGATCTTTACCCTTTATCCATAACAACTTTTCCGCGATATCTTTTCCGAGAGATATAATCCGTTACGAAAAAATAAGAATTACAGTATATTGTTTTATGCAAAATACTTACAGATAATGCTTATTATCAAAATTATAATGCCATCTGCTCAAGAGTATGAGAATAACCTTATTAGTACAGTCGTCCTAATTTTTTCACCGATTTGCTTACATAGAGAAAATTTCTTGAAAAAATTTGTAATTTTTTCAAGGACATTTTACAACAAATAACTGAATGCTCTATACGAAAATATACCACCAGTATAGTGGAGCTCATTGCCGTGGAATATAATTGATCTCGAAGAAATGGATTAACAGAATTCGTAATTAGGTTCATTCATATAACACTAGTGTAACCGTGGTCTAAGAGTTGGGTATTACAGTAGAGCGTCGTTTATCCGAAAGTCGGTTATCCGAAAGAATTCCAGTCAGTAAATTTAAATTTTCGCTAGTGCTGTAGCGCTGCAATCTTTGGCTATATCTTGGGCTACTCCAATATTTTTTTTCGTTGATATTTGTTTTAGCTGGCA